CCCGCCCTGCTCCGCCCCGCCCCGCCCCAGGCAAGCAGGGGGGAACGGCACCGCGTTTTTCACCGGTGTGTCAGTTCCCGCCTGCCTTAACTGAGTATTCACCCAGCGAATTCCTATTCGTCATTGAAGCTTTATACTGAAAACACCAGAACCCGCAACAAGTGCGGTGTCTGGCACTGGGGGCTGCGTTTGCACAGATGTGAAGGTGGCATGATGGAAAAAATAGCCAGCAGGGGGGCACGTAGATGGAAGGATGAGGGATGTTTCCTCTGTGGTGCTAAATCTATTTGCACAATCTATCTGGGGCTACTGCAAAGGCAGGCAGTGGAAAATTCTTTATCTTTATATGTGCATATAAAGGAAACAAGATAAAATGATAACTGTTTCTTTTTTTCTCTTCTTCATGCTGAAAAAAAAACCAAAACAACAGTGGCCAAGAGCAAATCTAAGTAAGTGATGTTTTACTCGCCAGTATTTGATTTCTGGTACCGCCTTGTATCTAGTGACTTTATGAAATACTAGGCTTCTCTAGAATTTTATAGTATACCTGAGAGAACTGCAGTCTTACAGTGTAGCTGCATCCTCTCTGTCCTTCTGCACGTGTGGCTTTTCACAGGTAAGTACAGAACAGTGTGTAAAAATCCCCTGGTTTCTGAAATTGCCACAAAGGTAGATTTTGTCCCATGGGGCTGAGCTGTAACGTGCACAGTGCCCTGCGCAGGGGAACCATGCCCCTGTGCTGTGTGGTTACAGAGAGGCCATCAATCATCCACATAATCTGCCTTTTGTTTACCTTTCATACTTCTGAGCTGAAGTTGTGATACTTCCTGAAAGCTCTAAAGAAAGCTGATATGCTTTAAGGGTCGGAAGGGAAGAAATATGTACTTTCCCCATATCAGTGGTGAAAACTCACCTTGGATTTTCTCCCCATGTCCTGATAGCTTTCCACTGGTCTTCTGTGCCCTGCTCCTAGTTACTTTTCTTCATTGGGCATTGAGTTTTTTGTACAAGGTGCATTGTTCAGCAAGGGCTCGGCCTCTGATAAGCGGTGCGCAGGAACTGCAGGGCCTGCTCATAGTGATACTGCTGATGTGCCCAGAAAGGGGAAGCTGCACAGAGGCTTGGGGGAAGTGGCTGAGGTGCAGGGGAAGGAGTCTGTGAGGTTACTGGTGCTACGTACCACACCTGCAGCACTGCACAGGAGAGGACAATAACGAGATAATCCCTAGACCACGCTTGGTCAGTTGGTCTGCAGGAATCTGGTGGTTTTCCTGTTTATTTTGAACTCAACGATAAATTAGAGTGCAAAGCTGAAGAGGCAGACCTCAGAGAAGTACACGGGTCAGAGCTGCACAAGTGAGGAAGAATGGATGTCCTTTCAAGGTTAATTTTGACAGACTGTTTAGTATTAGAAGCAGGAAAATCAAGGAAAATGAATTGAATGCCCTTGTGCAGAGATGTGTCCATCTCTTTATTGCAATGGAAAAGGAATACATAACTTATGGACGAGTTGAAGGGTTTGACCCTTGTTTTGAAACTTTAGAAGATGCTCTGTGCCATTTTTGGAAGTTGTGCAGATATCTGCATGCTTCCAGTGTGGGGGTGGCTTTCTTAGTCTCCCAGCTTGCCCTGACCCCAGGGACACTGCAGCTCCTGCCAGCCCGCCCCACAAACCAAGATCCCCCCAGTGGGGAAGGGGGTTTCTGTGGCTGGGATAACGTCAAGCCACGTATCTCTAGCAGGATGGACAGTGCCAAGGGGCACTGCTTCTCCCTTTGCGTGCCTCTGGTTCCATCCTATCTGCTGGGGTTCCTCTCTGCATGTGGAAGTGATAGTCTGCGATGCAGTGTTAGCTACAGCCCAAACATCTGCAATTATCATCATCATCCTTCCTCTCTTGACATTATCTGCTGAGCCATAGTGACTTGATTGTGTGCTGATCTTCTCTTTCTCTCGCTCTCTCTTCTCTTCCTGCCTGTCTTTCTGTCTGGCTTTTCTGTTTTTCTTCCTCCCCCAGATCTTCTCTTTCTCTCGCTCTCTCTTCCTGCCTGTCTTTCTGTCTGACTTTTCTGTTTTTCTTCCTCCCTCCTCAGTGTTTTGTGGAGGAGTTAACTTCTCTCTGAGCTTGTATTTCGTTTAGGAGTGACTTGAACTTGGTGCTGGAGCTTGTGATGTGCAGTCTGTATTGTACGTTTAGGACATAGTGTGGGCACTCCCATGTAGAACATCCATGAAGCTGAAATGAAGCACGTTATGTGATTGTGCCAAGCTGCTTATGCTAAAAGCTTGTCCACTGGGCCGTGGCGTGGCAGGGGTGTGGTGGGCAGTTGGTGTGTGCCTGTGCACTGACGCAGAGCCATCCCCTGTGACTCCAGGTACATCCTGGTGAAGATGAGGAGTACGGCGGAGACGGGATACTGCTTCAACGTCAGGAGGCTGCGGCTGCAGGAGAAAATGGTCCTGCTGAAGTACGATCCCATCGGTAAGAGCTCGGGGCAGAGGTCAGCCCGCGTTGGACAGCCCTCTCTGCCTCTGTAGGGCAAAAGATTTGAATAGAACAGGATTTTTCCCATCTGAGCAGAGTATGTCATAGCCTCTCATACTCAGATGACTGTAGAGTTGCTGTTCCTCACGGCATTCCAGTGGGAAGCAAACGTTACCCTCGTTGTGGCAGTGGAACAAAGTCATGCCTTGCCCGACACATCAGTCTTTGATGACAGCCATGCCACATGTCCGTGGCAAAGCACAGTGACACAGGAGCTCTTTCATTCTGTTCTTTGTGTGGTTTGCTAGACTGAGCTACCTCCAGCCAGCAGCCACGAGGAGTGCACCCGTAGAAATGTGCTGTTAGGCTGCTGTGGATGCTCTAGGCAGTAAATCTTAACCATCACTTACTAAAAGGGCTTTTAAAGAAATAAATGCAAGTTCTTCCTCCTCCACAAAAGATACTGCTCTGCGGATTACAGTTTGTGGGTTCATTTGTGTTCCTCTGGTCTGTGCAAATCTTCTCCCTGCAGATTTCTTAGAATCTGATTTGTTGGGGGTTATAACACTTGCCAAGATGGCTTTTTCTCACCAAGCTTTTTGGAAGGTGACTAAGAGCTTAGAATTCTAGGAGAAGAACCAGTCTGTAGTTAACCTTAAAAAACTTAATGTTAAAGAAACTTAATTTGGGGAAACTTAGAATTTCAACCGTTCTGTGCTTGAAATACCATGGTGGAGTTGATACAAAAAAGCCTTATTTAAATCTATGGAATAAAGAAATAGACTCAGCAGCTTTAAGTAGATAACACATGGCCAGTAGTTATGTGGTTCAATCTTATTTTTACTTAAAATTTTATGTTCTTGTTAGATGATGAACCTTTTCATACTCAGATGTAACAGTATAGGAGCTTTGTGGCAGCTGAGAGAAACCACCAGAGCAGCAGCAGGCTCTTCTCAGAGCACCCATGCTGACAGAGGTTGTGGCTCTCCTGAATTCCAAACAGAATGGGAATCAGAGATCACTGGGATTAATTTCTTGAATAAGAAAAGTTTAAATGACTTCATCAAAACATTGTGCAAAGTGATCCTCTGGAAGCTTTGCAACTTGTAGGAAATGTGAAGAGGGTGGAAAGCTCAGGCTAAGTGGCACTTCAGTAGCAGAATATGTAGTAGGTTGTTGAAGTACAAAGTTGGAAGTAATTAAGGAAAAAAAAAAGCTCTGATCTTTGTAGCCTGTAGTAGAACACAAGTGAGAAATTGATGTGAGAAAGTGCTGCATGTGTGAAGGGAATTAAATCTGAGTCTGGATACCAGCTCACATCAGGAATATGTTAGGAAGCATTTTCACTTGGCATGCATTTTCACCTTATGTTTTGTACTTCTCAAAAACCTGGGACCTCCACAGAACGAAGCTTTTTAGTGAAGTAGTGGCAGTAGTACCCAAGTTTCACTACCTCCTAACTGGAACAACAGAATGTGTCACTAAGTTGCAGTATTTCTTAAAGTGAAACTTTTATGTGGAAGAAGAGATTTTGTTCCTGTGTGGATGGCTCTCACGTAGCTTTCAAAGGAATTCATATAGTGAAGTTTGATTGGAACAGTGCTGCTTTTCCAATGGCTTTGTAAAGCTCTGCTTTGATTTTGCTTTCAGCTGGGGGTTTGGGGATTTTTTTTCAGTAGTGCATTGGCCATGTTTAACCTGCAGCTCAACTGACTTTGCTAACATCTGCCTCAGGCCCTGGAAGCAGGGTCAGGTTGTGCCTCTTGGGGAGATCCACAGGATACCTCGTTAACTTACCAGTCAGTCTGTGAGACTGGCTAGATCCAGCTCATCATCTGTAGCTGTTTGGGCTCTGAAGTTGGAGGAGTAGTAGAAAGCAGCAAGAACCTATTTTTGTCCCTGCATTGAGCAGCTGTGACTCAGAATAGTCACAGAGAGCAGCTGTTGAATGTTTTCAGCCACTCACCTCTGTGAAAATAAGGATCAGGATTGAAAGTGGATCTCTTAGTAACTAAAACTGACATGTGGTAAAGTGGAAGCCCTACTAAACTCCTTCAAGAGCTGGTTAACAGCAGCACTGTGCCCAGCAGTTGCTCCACACCCATTGGAGCAGTGCAGGCAGCCAGGAGAAAGGGACATTGGCTTGTCAAATTGGATCTTAACACTTGGGCTTCTTAACAGATTCTTTTCTTCCCCATAGCAAAACAACGTGTCCTCTTCACAGAGAAGAGAAAGATCCGCTCCATGTGAACAATGCCTGGACTGGATTTATGCATGAGGAGAGGACAGTCTGGGGCGAGGACGGGGCGAATGCTGATTCAGAAATCAAGCAACATGGGCTGAAAAGAGAGGAAATGAACTGGGATCACCATCTCCTGTGATTTGATGGCCATTGTGAATAAAACAATGTAGAGAGAGAAAATTCTTCGTGTCTGGACATAGATCATCACAGTAACATTTATTTATCTTTCGAGTTATTTTTACAGTACTCGATTAAAAAAATTAAATAGCAAATCCCATTGTCTGTGTTTTCCATTGTGAAAGAGGCTGTAATCTTCAAAGGAGCTATTGTTTTATAAGGCAATAAAAATTAACATTTCCCACAGCAGAAATTCAATGGCAAGACTGCAAGTTTTTCTACCCTCCCAGCCACAGATTCAACAGTAGTGACCACAAACCGGTGTCGTTCCTTGGAGGGGTAGAGCTGCACCAGCTCCTCCCAAGGAAAGGAAGAAGCAGTGGGCACCTGGCAAAATAAAGTGAGCTTTTGGATGAGCTGTGGCCATGGCTAAAAGGGCCATAGTATTTTCCGTCAGGTAATTAGGATGAATATATCACTCCTGGATTTTTGTCAAGCATGAAGAAAGCAGTTGGCACGAGTAGTTCTCTGATGGTTTTTTGGGAGCTGCTGTAATCAGCTCACCCAAGTGTAGAGCAATACGGCCAGGAACGTGTTTCAGAGTCTGCCTCAGGAGCAGCTTGTCCTGCCCCCTGCCCGGGGGACGCGGTGGG